TGGGTCAGGATGGGAAAGTCTGAAACTATAATATATATGAAGATCTGTTCTTGGGAACAAGATTTTAATAAAAATAAAAACTGCATTCATAAATTTAAGAAAAACCCTGTGATCAGCACGGGAATCAAATCCGGTCGTTTTGAAAAAAAAAACTTACACTATTTCTATTTAAATATCGATTATGTAGGTCTGAAGCAGTAAATGTTTCTATTAAACGTGATGTCTCAAATGCGTAAAATGCATTTTTGTCACATAATTTAAATTATTTCAGTAGAGGTTCTAAGTGACCACCGTTTTTTTAATACAAAATTTAACACGTATAGGTAACTTATCTTACTAATAAATAGAAATAGGAAATAGTGTTAGTTTTTTTTTTCAAAACGACCGGGTTCGATTCCCCAGCTGACCACAGGGTTTTTCTTAAATGTATGAATGCAGTTTTAATTTTTATTAAAATCGATGACATAGTTCCTAAGAACAGATCTTCGTATATATTATAGTTCAAACTTTCCCATACTGACCCATTTAAATGAGCCATCTTGTATACTCTCATATTAAATTTTTGACCATTATATAATTATTTGCCGAACAAGGATTGCTGCCTGATTTTTTAAATTGCTTACAAAATCTTTTTGTGCCGACCAAATTATTTAAAGGCTGACCAATTATATACTTCTCATGAAACATTAGTATTTTGTGTAACCTCCTTCTGCATTTAATACGTCTTGTAAACGTTTCCTCATGGAACCAACTACCTTCTTACAAAAACCTCGACCTCTGAACGATTCCCAAACATCATTTGCATGTCGCCTTAAGGCTTCTGTTGTTCGACATTGATTCCCATCCCACTCTTGCACCATTTTACCCCAAAGGTTTTCGATGGGATTGAGGTCTGGACTTTTTGGTGGTAGTTTGATTAAAGTTAGTTCTCTCTGTTCATTAATCCATGTCTGTACTGTACGAGCATTATGTACTGAGCTGTTGTCTTGAAGGAATGTCATTTGTTGTTCTGGATAAAAAACTTGAGCTGTAGGAAGAAAAGTATCTTCCAGAAGTTCCTTATAATTCATTGCATTCATTCGTCCACTTATTTCCACAAGCTCACCAGGTCCATCTTTGCACATCCATCCCCAAAATCCAATTGAAATACGTCCACTCCGGCGATTAGGCAGCACATTTTGTTCTAAGTAACATGTGTTTTCGGGTCGCCACAAACTTAATCGCCCATTATCTGATGAGCAGAGAACCTTTTCGTCCATGAAAATAACGTTTTGAAAATTAAAATTTAAATAATTAGCTGCAAATTGTAGCCGCTGCATTTTGTGCCTTGGCGTGAGAGTTGGTTTTTTTGCCGGTACTCTATTTTTTAAACCTCCTTCTTCGTCTTCTAATGGTGCTAGTGGATATTTCGAATGTGCTTGAAAATTGTGTAGTGTTTATAAATCTGTCATTTTTGGCTTTATCTATAATAGCTATGTCTTGGTTATTTGTAGTAATACGCGGGCGACCAAATGAAACATGATTATTTAATGTTTCTCCTTGCTGCCATCTTTCTAGCCATAAATATACAGTATTTCTCTGAAATAAATACAATTTTATACTTTGTGAATAAAGTTTCATGTTTTGTGGGCAATTGATTTTTAGCATTTTTCTCCGTGATACTTACGGCTATCCCTAGCTCATCGGCGATATCTTTTACGGATAAACCATCATTTTTTAGTTGTATTATTTTATGTTTCATTTCCGCATCAATACGGTACGAACTCATATTAATTATAGTTAATTTATGGTATGAACTAATACGTAAGCAAGCTGCTTGAATTTATTTGTGCATGACACATGACAGAGGTGATAAGAATAAAAACTGGAAAGTGTTTAACTGCCAGCGTCATCTTATTATAAATAAATAATTAAGAGGTCCTATTAAAATTGTTCAGATATTTTTGAAAAGTTGTATGTTCAGATATTATTGACAGGCATCTGCTCAGATATTATTGAAGTAATGAATGATCAGATATTAATGGTCACTTGTAGTGTATAGAACTTATTGACATTTTAACTGTTCAGATGTATTTGGTCATCTTGTATGCTCAGATATATCTGATGGCGACTGTACAAGGTTTCACTGCAACTAGAGACAAGATTTTGTCAGGTACCAAGGAAACTAACGACGGTTTGGTGCCTACGGTGTTTAACGCGCGAGTGGTTGATACACAGACAACACCGAGTAAAATTAGCCTATTTCACTATGTGACCCAGACGACCCTAAAAACATTAAACTGGTCTCATGGAAGAAATTCAAGTCAATGAGCGGATTCAAGATTACGCGAAGCGGGTTGACGATTGACATTACTGTGGACGGTCTGTGTATATACCGATACCAGAAAAACAGCCGAAATCGTTGAAAATGACAGAAGATGCCAGATTTTAATAAATACTTAACAACTTTACCTTCAATATTTTTAGTGTCCGTGATGCTAGCGTACCCATGATCAATATACGGTTTTTCGTTATGCGATTAAATAGTGCGTAAATAGTGCCAAATTAGTGTAAAAATAATAAAAAAAGTGCCTCTTTAATTTAAGAAATAAATACCATTTTTACTGTGTACGCTACCATGACGTCAAGCTAGCGTACCCATGGCCGACCCCAAGAACGGCATATATTTAAGCAACGAAATTGACACACAAAAATAGTTCGCAAATAGTGCCCTGGCTTTACAAAATTTCATAATCAATACTCATAAAGGACCAAAGATATTGAACTAAACATTCTTAGCTGGCGTCAACCTGGCGTACCCATAATACGATAAATGAACTTTTCTCGTTATCTATTCTATATGTATAAATAGTGTGTCAAATAGTGCCTCTAACAGTAAAAGTATTTTATGTGAATCCGCATCACAACAATACATAAAGAGGGTGTTAAATTCTAGGAACAAATGTATTGTAGTACAGTTATACACAAAATTAATTTATGCATTAAGAGATTATCTATATATGTATTTTTACTATAATAAATAGGTACTTTTTATAAAAAGATATTATATAAAGAAAAGTTTACTAGAAAAAATTCCACGCGGACCAGGCAGCGGGCGGGACTCGAACCCGCATCCTTCGCTATCCGGGCGAATGCACTGACCATTATGCTACCACGGCCCTATTAGCCGCGTCGAAATGTTCTTAGCCTTAAGCTGCAAGGCAGCGCCATCTCTTCGCATTGTAGGTAACCCACAATGTCAAATGAATACTTTTTTAAGTATTAAACATTTGAAAGAAGAAATAGCAATTATAGTTTTGATTTTATTTATTTTTTAAGCATTTAACTGCTAGATGTTAAAATCTAAAGAAAAGTTTACTAGTAAAAATTCTACGCGGACCAGGCAGCGGGCGGGACTCGAACCCGCATCCTTCGCTATCCGGGCGAATGCACTGACCATTATGCTACCACGGCCCTATTAGCCGCGTCGAAATTTTCCTAGCCTTAAGCTGCAAGGCAGCGCCATCTCTTCGCATTGTAGGTAACCCACAATGTCAAATGAATACTTTTTCAAGTATTAAACATTTGAAAGAAGAAATAACAATTATAGTTATGATTTTATTTCAATTCGAATTCACCAATCATAAATTCATATAAGAATTTCAATACCTTACTTACCTACTATACTACGAAAATATTATCACTTCTGTACATGACTGTACTTCATATATAAAAATAATTTAATTGCTTTTTTTATATTGTTTTACTGCGAATTAACATAAAATACTTTTACTGTTAGAGGCACTATTTGACACACTATTTATACATATAGATAGATAACGAAAAAAGTTCATTTTCTTTGAGAACTATTATGGGTACGCCAGGTTGACGCCAGCTAAGAATGTTTAGTTCAATATCTTTGGTCCTTTAAGAGTATTGATTATGAAATTTTGTAAAGCCAGGGCACTATTTGCGAACTATTTTTGTGTGTCAATTTCGTTGCTTAAATATATGCCGTTCTTGGGGTCGGCCACGGGTACGCTAGCTTGACGTCATGGTAGCGTACACAGTAAAAATGGTCTTTATTTCTTAAATTAAAGAGGCACTATTTTTTTTATTTTTACACTAATTTGGCACTATTTACGCACTATTTAATGGCATAACGAAAAACCGTATATTGATCGTGGGTACGCTAGCATCACGGACACATATTTTTAAGCAATCAGCGTTACCATACACATGTAACAGATTTAAAAATTTATGCAAAGTGAAGATAATAAACATCTATTAAAGCATTGACAAAAAGGTACTAACTTAATACTGCGGTTCCACTCGGCGCTCAGAACAGGAGTTTTACTCTCTTTCTCCGAAACGAAATTTCGGTATTGAACAAATTTTAAACGAAATAATTTTTCACTGACCGGTCCAAAAAATCGTCTTTCTTGAAATTCACACCTGTCGATGACGACAGCGACGATGACCGAGATACTCCTTCAACTGGCAAGGATTCTGGATGTTTTAGTGGCACAAGAAAACCTCTAGATTTTGATTTGTAAACTTCCGAGTCAAGGCACTTATTATAATTTCTTATTGTATTTCATTCAGGGCTTCATTGAACTATGTAACAAGATTTTTGTTATGTGCATGTAAAAAAATTAAAATTAGTTTTATTCTTTCATTTTCAATGCATCCGAAGATTACGGGAACTGCAGAGTCTGCGGATTTTTTTCTATAACAACGTGTTATATTTTGCCAATAGGAGAATTGAAGGTGTAACGCTTTTATTAAAAAAAAATGAATTTTTTATAAAATGGTTTTATATTCTTTATCAGATTTAAATTATTCGTAACTTTTTAGTCCTTTTTATTAAGAAGTAGATAATAAAGATCTTTTTCAATTATTCTTTTCTTTATTTTTTCCCATGCAGTCCCACCGTGAATTCAATCAGATTCTAATGCAAATTCAATGAATATTCGTAGCATACCTGTTATGTAGCAGGCAGGCTACACTGTTAAACAAAATAATAAGATCCACATAAATATCAATAGTTTATTACATAAATTAATTATAGCCAAGCTTACACTTTTGTTTTTCTAAACCGACTCATATGAAAGATTTAAAACTGCCTAAGTTTTATTCTATATCCATCTGTATATGTAGCAGGGATGCGACTCTTTTGATCAAGTGTGATTAACACCCCTGCAAACTCTATAAAAAACTTATAATAAATCTAACATCACTCTATTTTACCATTAATTAGGCTATATAAGTACTTGGTGTTACAAATGTTCAACTATTTAATTTTTCGTTAAAAAAATGACGTCGTCAAATTGCATAAGCGATGTTAAAACTTTCTGTGGTAAACTACATTTCCATTTCGATAAGAGTACGGGTTTTACTTCAATATATCACAAACGTTTTTGACACTTAAAATTAAATCTTCTCGCATTGCACTGAACGACCGGTTACTGCTATAAAATTAATATATTATAAAACGTGATTGTATATCTATGAACTATTATTATTATTGCTTTATTTTAGTATCAAAAGGACATTAAGACATAAAATATCTTATAAAAATTATCTTTATGTCATTACATTTGTATGATGGTATGTAGTGCAAATACGATAAGATCTTACGTTATGCCCGGTAGGTACAATTGATTAATCATTTATCATATTTTATAAAAATCTTGACTGTATGGCATTGTCTTACAAATGACTAAATGAGGCGTGTATTTATTGCTTCAGGCGAACAGATTATTATGATTATATACACCTTACACTCATTTACGTAAATACAAAGGCAAACAAGTTTTCAAAATTGCAACGACATACAGAGGCTTATGAATTTTATATTACAATACATGAATTTTATATAATATTTTTATTTGCCCCGTATATTTTTTTGTTTAAGGATATTTATGTACTGTTTCTATTCCATTAAATCGACATGGACATTAAAACAGTGCACTTTCTCTGTCGTTCAAGAGTATAAAAATGTTTTTATACTATCCAATTTTTTATGTCTATAAAATACTTTAGAATAGAGAATTATAAATAGCACTCTTAGTACTTTATACATATAAAATATTCCATGCATTCTTATCCCTACACATTGCTTCGATAATTTTCATATTAATTAAAATAAATGTTTCCCGTATACTACAAAATTAAGAATGTTACGTTTTGTTTGTAGTATATTTATGTCAAGTTATTACTGATTGATGTATGCACTTCGTTTGTAGGTAAAATCGAGTTCATTAATATATGAGAAGACTGTAAACAACAAAAACATCTTGGTATTAATACATGCCATAAAATACTTAACAACTTTACCTTCAATATTTTTAAGCAATCAGCGTTACCATACACATGTAACAGATTCAAAATTTTATGCAAAGTGAAGATAATAAACATCTATTTAAGCATTGACAAATAGGTACTAACTTAATACTGCGGTTCCACTCGGCGCTCAGAACAGGAGCTTTACTCTCTTTCTCCGAAACGAAATTTCGGTATTGAACAAATTTTAAACGAAATTTCACCAGTGACTCCTCTATTTTCGAACACGCACATAAGTTTCGGAATCACAAATCTCCACTTTTTAGATTACGCTTTTAACTTGGTAACAATATTACTATACGACAAAATTTTTAATGACATTGAAAGAAAGAAGTCAAATAAAGTTTCTTTGACAGTGTTTGCAGACTAATTTGTAGACTTGATACAATCGGTTGTATGTCAATCTAAATTTGTAGTTTAATACTATGAAGTATTGGATATACAATAATTAATAAAAATTTGGTTTATTTCTCAATTTTGCATGCTAAAAATTGTTCCTCACGCTAAGCAGTCTTGATTAAAAATACTCTAGCAGTCAGTTTTAGTCTTAATTAAAACAAAGATCTCAAAACGAAAATGAAAAGGTGACACTTTTCATTTCGTCATTTGAGGTTAAAGTTTCAAACAATTATCTATCAAGTTCGACTTTTCGTTCGAAAGTTTTGGGAACTAGAGTAGGCTTGGTGAATTTAATTGTCAAACTATTTTCGGACGAACGAATTTTCGAATCGAAAAAGAGTAAGAAACGTGCGAAATTTTGTTGAAATAGCCTCCTGTTCTAAACGAGCAAGCATTTGTTTGCTCGGTAAGTGGAAACATCAGGGCGAGCGAACGAGTTCGTTCAGCGGCGTTTGGCTGAACTAAGTGAACGAATGCTTGCTCGCCTAATCTTTTAATGGAAACAACGCAACGGCAAACGAACACTTGTTCAGAGCATTGGCTCGAAATCAACTTCTATGATGATCATCAGTTTCTTGAGTGATTGAGAGCGGAAACATGTACCAATTATTTTCAGCGAAGTCTGACAAATAGTAAACATTTGCTGAACAAAATGTATGCTCGGTAGATAAGTGGAAACGCAGCTTATGACGTAATAAAATGAAATGAACTACACATGCTGAGCAACGGCAAGGCAAATCATCTAACGAATTAGCAATATTATTAATTTTGCAAAGATTTTTTTATGTCTAATGTGTATGGGCCCTTTATCGTTTACAGCAATATTTAAACCATTGGCCCTGCCTATATATTAATGAACTCGACTGCACCTACATTACAAAAGTAAATTCTTATTAACATAATCACAATGGCAAACTGATATAACATGTAAGTAATTATAATATTAATTATATTACATTAGGCATATCTAAATCAGAGATTAGCCCACAAGGATTACTTATAATTATGTTTTTTTTTTATATCTCAAAGCATTAATACATGACTGATATCATAATTTTGTTTTTGGCGTCATTACAATATTGAATCTAATCGAAACAATGTTAAAGGACACATTGAGTACAATTCTATTGCACAAACATTATATGTAAAACATGAAAGTATGTATAAGAAGGAAAGTCTCTTTCTATTCCTCAGAATATAAAAGCGACAAATGTCCAATAGTAACATTGACGGTAAATTTGAACGTACTGCTTTTTTTCGGGCAAATTATGGCCAGTGCAAATTAGCGGATGGCATAGTAGAGTATTTCTTTTTTAATTTTTAATATAAATTTATTTTACCCTGCTTTGACGTCCGCATGTGAGCTGTATAATATAATATATATCCTTTTTTTACCCTACTCCATCAAAATCTCGCAGTGAAAGCACAGTATGTTACGTCCTAACACTTTGCGTATTTGATACTTCTTTGTTGATAGCAACATTTCAAACAATTGTTACCTATCGTCAATTTCTATGTGGACAGAACAAGATGTACCAATTACCATTAATACTGTTATTATATAATGAGTGTGCAGTAGAACAAATCCCAATATAATTTAACAATTTGCAATATTTTTATAAATAGTGAATTTTGGATATTGATGTTGGTGTTTCGTTCAACGTTATAAGGTACTATGTGGTGTTGGATTCACAGTGGTATACTTGTCTGCTATAATTAAAATAAACAGCACAAATATAATCAATTGTGTAATTTGCTGAGCCAAAGAAATTTTATAAAGAAAGGACAAAAATGGGTCTGTCGTCGGTGTTATTCCGTCATCTATTTTTATCACTATTCAAATATAAATAAATCAGAGTTAATCACCATAAAACTAAACTTTTATTTATATTTGACAGTTAACTATTTAGGTGGATATTGATTTCTTAGGAAGTAACCACAATAAGGGCACATAAAGGTCTGCACATATATCGAATGGGAAGCGGATCGGGCACCGCACCGTCTAAATCAAGCCGTTCAATATGTTTAGGGTCAATTCACATCGGAGTGGCAGCGGTCGGCTGACTGAAAGGTTCCGCGGAGTAGCGAAAGGCGCGCTGGCGATAGTCTTTTCAGTGTGTAGATAACACCGCTTCCAGTGAGAAAATGCTCGCCGCGTCGCTGGTGGCCCGCTGCCATTCCCGTGTGAATTGACACTTTTCTTTGTTTGAATTGAAATTCCCTACTGTAATAAACATTTGTCAGCATCCTTACGGTACTGTATTGCCCCGAAGTCAGGTGGCGAACCACAACCATGTAACTAGGTAATTAGATTGTGTCTTAATTTTAATGTAAATTTTACTCATTTAAACCTATTTCTATTGATTTAAATGACAACGTATTTATTTTATCATTCACATTCTTTAAATTTTAATTCAACAAAGAGATCGAGTGATGTAAGTACAAGACACAAAATGAGTTTATACAATGTTGGACGACGATACCCTAACGCTATACATTAACAATTAACTATATTCTAGTTAAGAAGGTATGATGTAGATACAAGTAAATGCAATAAATGCGGTAAAATGGTTAAATGTCACATATACATAATGACGTTTTGTGATTCATGAGTATCAAAGTTACTTTAATTTAATGATTGAACACAATTTATTCAAAATATACATAGATGTAACAAAGTATTCGCAAAACTGGAAGACGTTTACGACCCACATTATCTAATTTTTCAGCTCTTAACAAATATAGACAATATTTTCCCAATAATATGGCATCGATTTAAGAAATATGTACCTATTGCTTATTAACTATTTTTGTACAATAGACCCATTTCAGTAGCTTTAAATGAAATCCAACAAGAAACAAGATCTACAAAGCATTTTAGAGTGACTAGATCATCAATAAATCGATTTCATTCCAATTACGCAAAATGGAGATTATTTTGTTACTACTGTACTGGCTACATACGCTTCTTAGGCTGACGTTTCAACTTTTAAGAATCACATTTATTGCATGTGCTTGTTGTTTTTGAAAATATCTATCTTCACGGTGTCCCGTGTAGGGTTCACAATTTGAAATATCATACACAAAATAAAATTGTATCAATTTGTTTAGCCCTAATAAAATTTGCCAGCAGGTTAATATCTATAGAGAAAAAAATATGAAAATGTTTCCATCCTAACCGGAAAAATTACTCATTACATGCGTGGTAAACATTTTAAACGTAATGCACATTACATTTCATATTAAAAATTGGGAAATATTAAATAACTAATTATATTAAAGAAAATATACAAAGCAGCTTCTTAATCATTAATCGGACACAGGACTTCACAAACAACATAAAGTTGGTAGAAAATTTAAAAAGATTAATTAAACGGGGATGATTAAAAATAATCAGAAAATATTTAGCGAAAGCGAAGCGAAAATATGTGCAATAACCATACTACACAACAATCGGTTGTTTATACTACCAATATAACCTCAGAGTAATTGGTAAAATTAAGGGCTATTCAGATACCAAACCTGAGAGAAAAATCTTGAAAAACCAGCTGTAAAAATTCTTAAGTAAGGTAATAATTCGGCTGAGGATGAGTGGATAGTCCAATTGAAATAAAATCGGACTTGGGTAATTATATTTTTGGGCCAACGAAAACCTCGAAAAAGTTTAGTATGCGATTATACTTCAATTGCATTTCCAATTTAGGATAAGTAGTTTTACAATTCAAAACTGTGGTATGTGGAAAAGAATGGGTTGGCAGGAGTAGGGTATAATTCCACCGTACATAATCAATAGCTGGCTGAAGCAAGATTTATGGACGAAGTCATTACAAATTTCAGCCTTTTCACTTCATGAGTGAATTTAAGTTAAATAGCTATTTTGAAATGCTAAAAATGAAAACGATTTATTAAACTAAATACCAAATTACTCAAAAATTACATGACATCGTTGCAATAATAAAGATATTAAAGTTATTGAAAAAGTATGGAAAATTTGACAAACATCCAATACAAAGACCCTGTGTAGTTTTAGTAAGATGAAAAGAATTTCGCATTTAGCAATAATTAGTAGGTTTTTTTTATTTTTATTTTCAGTAAGTATTTCAAATGTTTTCATTGAAGCAGATTATTTGATTAAATGTTATGATGATCAGGATATTATATAATAGTATTTTCAATAAGTTTTTAACAAACAACCAGTGTCTGCAGACAATCATAAGACCAATTAATGGTGTCCTATTTATTGGCAGACTTTTTGTGTGGCATCTGCGTTTGCATTACAAAATTAATACTATCTGACATGTGAGATCACCATTGAACGCAGAGCTGGAATTCGCTAGCAGCAATAAACAATGCGGAGGATTTAAAATCGCATAGCTTTTTGGTTACATGTAAACTTCATCCCAGCACAGCAAAACTTAGTTTTTGAAAGGTACACCACAAGACACGTATAATAGGCAAAGCACTTACTATTACTATATTGGCAATATTTATATATCAACTAGATCTAACAAGTCAATTGCGAGTATAAAAATAAAGATAAAAGATACAAAATTGTTTTGAATACATGCGCACAATATAGGTAGTTTAATATAAAAAATACATGAAATTATATTATGATTGTTGTAATTTTTTTGTATTGTATCTAATCAAAATATAACTAATATATAAAGAAATTTGTTTAATTATTTTTTTATTCCACATAGTTCTACAATAAGTTCTATAGTAAAACAGAAAGATTAAAAAGTTCCCTTTGGTTCTACAGTCCACTTTGAAAGAATTATATAGAACTTTATATGTATCTATTGAGTTCTACTATTTATAACGTTATTAAAATGGTTGATAGTACTGGACGGAATATAAATTCCATATTGTTCTATTACACTAAATCACAGAGCTAAACGGATTTTATTTCCACTTAGTCGTATGACAAAAAAATTACTTTTAAATAGTAGAACTAAATCATACTAAGATTAAAAATGTGAAAGTTTGCAAGTATTTAACTCAATCACGCAAAAACTACTGAACAGATTTGGATGAAATTTGTTACACATATAGTTTATGGCAGCACCTAGTGGATAATATATTCTACTTATGGGTGCCAGCTACTTTGTCCGCGTAAACCTTAGTTTTTTGTGAATCCCACAGGAATACCCTAAATACACCACGCCACGTGTGAAAAGTCAAGTTGCCGCGGAGCTTAGTGAAAAAATGCGAAAAAAATACTTATAGAATGTAGTGTCGTTTTTTCGACAGGTATCTAATAAAGCCATTGGGCAAAAATGTATGGACGCTGGACCCACGCCCGCCACGGCTTTAACTACATTTGTTTAAAAGGCATTATAGTCATGATCATCTGTGCTAGAGCGCATCAAATTCCATCCCGGCGGTCTTTAGTTATTTCAAGTTAAATAGGTACAAGTACTATTACGAACGAACAATAATGAAACAAGGGAATTAATTTAGTTAGTTCGACCCTACTAAACTGTTTTGAGGTGTCTCAGTAAGAGCAAGCGCAGGATGGACGGCAGACTTTGTCGTATATCTGGTTGTATAGTACGATATGGCATATTATTAAGGTTACTAAGAATATAAAATGAAGGTACTTACTATAAAATGAATTAATTTAGCTACTTAAATATGCCCATTCTTTTGACTACCAGGATATTTTTTTATTATGTCATAATAAAAAAGGGTAGTTTTTTATAGATCTTTCTATTCATACTAATAACATTGTTGTCGGAGCTGGGTGTGTTTTGCCCACTGTCCTTTTTCTTAATTCAACGCATTGAAGCAAATTTAGTTCTAATACTTACTAGGAAATGATTTAATAGAAAATAGTTGTGATATTCAAATACATGGAAATAATTCAGCTGTCTCTTTTCTTCGCGGCCCGTACTTGCTATATTGCTAACAGCGCATTCAGAATTGCGCGTATAATCAAAGAACTAAGGTCTATATTCTTCCGCATATAGCAGTAAGACGTAAAATTTTACGAGCTTGCATTTCGAACTGTCATAACTCTTTGACGCATGCGTTTTAATTAAGACCTTAAACAGTATGCATTAAAGATGACTTTTTATTTTTAAATAATCTCTATATGGATTCTTACTACGCAATGATCTTACGGAGCTCCGTGGATCGTCCAATGTACCTTTTGGACAGGTTTCGGGCACGGTATTGTTCGTGTTGGTGTATCTAGGGTATTTTAATATTGTTGATAAACATACAAACTTTCACTTTAATTATATTAGTAGGATATATGTATTTCAAAGTGAACTATAGAACCAAAGTGAACTTGTCTACCTTTCTGTTCTATTAATGAAAGTAATTGTAAACAAGATAATGAAATGATGAGATTGTGTGCCATAATTCAAAACATGTTGCAAATGTCTATATTATGTTATACTAAATTAATTGATTCAGCCTTATTTACAATGCAGTGTAAAAATTATTAAATACATATAACTAAACATTATAATTTTAAAATTTATTAAGAACAATACCTCAGCTTGATCACATTGGCAGTTAAAGTTACATAATTAAATTACTAAATAAGAAATGGCAAAATGTGAGTATTTGACACTTTTTATTTTACCACAGTATAAACTTTTGGGTTCAATCTCTCAATAATATACATATAAATTATCCATCAAATTAGCTAACTACATTTATACTCTATTTTTACAATATTATGTAAATAAAATTATAATATGTCTGAAACATGACAAATAAGCTCCCATACATAATGAGAAATTATTAGTTCTTGTACTTCCTATTTAAAAATGTCGCTTATTTCACAATTTTGCTTATGTCTAATTATCAAAGTAATTAAGTACAATTTTCTTTAAAAATAAAATAATAATATTCATTACAAAATAATCACAAATATAAACATCAGTCTAGATAAATAGATTTTAGTGTGTCTGGTGTAATAAATAAAACACAGTTTATTCATTAAAACTGACTTCACATTAGGCAAAAATATTATTATTTTGAGTAGTAAAGTAATGGCTTTCCTTCGTTGTATAGAAGTAACAAGACGGTATTATAAAGCTATTTAGATTGGAAATCAATAATTATCAAATTTAGGCCAGTTCTTCTTATATTGTATGGTTTGTTCTGCAATTGGGTTTATGAAAACCAAACTTGTTATTTAGTCTTTTAAATACCAATAAATTTGAAACACATTTTGTTTTATTAAATACCTACATAATTATAATATCAAGTTCGATAAAAAAAATCACAGAAAAGTGTTGTGTCTAACGTAATCACTATTAGCACATAATTAATTTGCACATCAAAATCCCAATAACCCAATAACAACACACATTTCTATATTAAAAATTGAAGAAACAAATGCATGTAAACAACACTTTTTTCGTATAGTGATATACTTTGAAAAGTTGTACATTAACACTAAGTCTTATTCTATGACATATGCTTTTAGAAAAATATACAGAATGCATTTAGTGAAAATTTATTTTCCAAAGATATTATAATAAACAACTGTCCACTCTAGCTGCTAATCATAAAGGTCATGGTCCTGATCACATAGTTTATTTTATTCATGAAATGTGGTTCAGTTATCTTTGTCTCTTGTCCCTCAAACCTTCAAACTGCACATCCTATATGTTCAAACAAGAAAACCATAAGGTCCACTTACGCGAATCTGAGCGCGCATACTTTGAACACTATTCATAATTTTCTTCTGGTGGCCGACAAGAGTGACGCCGAGGGATGCCAATTGGTGGACTGTTAAATCAACAACAGCCTCCATATCTGTGATTCCAGCAGCACGAAATTTTTCGATGTATCGTGACATTTTAATACACTCCAACCATTCTTCGACAGATGAGAACTGGTTAACGTCTGGTGTATCTCCTGCTAGAGGATCTGCTGAGCGGTTTTGAGCTATTTTCCTCAAAGTATCTGGGCAACGAATAAGTTTGTCCAATGTTTTCACAATACTTGAGAAAGTTGGTCGATGTGTACGCTCTTTTTGCCAGCAATCAAGCATTAGCTGATATACAGCTTCTGGACAATCCATCGGTGCAGGAAGACGATATCCTTTTTCTATTGACTTGATTACATCCTGATTACTCCAATTCCAATAGGGACGTTCACCAAAGCTCATAACTTCCCAACATACAATACCCATGGACCATACATCACTAGCTGATGTAAATTTTCTAAATGCAATAGCTTCTGGTGCTGTCCACCGTACTGGAATTTTACCACCTCGAGTGGTGTAAGCTCCATCAGCTGTAGATTCAATTTCACGGGATAATCCAAAATCAGCAATTTTACAAACTAGTTGGGAATTAACTAGGACATTACGTGCAGCAAGGTCTCTATGAATATAATTCATTTCAGATAGATATTGCATTCCAGTTGCTATTCCACGTAGCATTCCCACAAGCTGTAAAACACGGAACTTGCCATCATTTGCTCTCAAAAATGTGTCCAATGAACCATTTTCCATAAATTCTGTGATAATCATGATGGGATTACATTTCGTAACAACACCTTGCAAGAAAATCACATTAGGGTGTTCAAACTGTCCCATGATAGAAGCTTCAGCCAAGAAGTCTCTTCTAGCTCTCTCGGTTGACCCTGGTTTGAGAGTTTTAATAGCTACATCTATTTCTTGTCCACAACTTGCAGGTAGTTTAAGTTTACCACGACAAACATCACCAAATTCACCACCACCAATTATGGCCTCAATGGTTATACAAGATGCATCAATTTCACGTGCAAATTCTCTCACAGCTTGGTTGGGATCTTCATAGGTGTGGGGGTCAATATATGTCCTAGAACCAGTACCAGCAAACAAGGGTGTGGTAGCATTACTACTAGTTTTTGCTGGCCTTTCTGGGCCAGTGTAGACTTCACCATTACGATAATTTAATGCATTACAGTCATTTGGCTGCTTCTTATCACATTCATCATCAGCACGTGATCTCAAAAATAGCACTGTGGCAATAATAGCAACCACAGAAAGTACAACAACTGCCACCATGACCCCAGCAACCAGTCTCACTTGTGCACCTTCTTCTTCACCAACAAATGTTGTCTCTAAAACAGATCCTGTATGTGCATAGATTATTCCACTGAATTCACCCCATCCTCTTTTCATTTTTGCTCTAACTCTAATACCATATTCAGTGTCACTTTTTAAACCAGTTATAGTTAAATGAGGTTCCTTGGTGATCTTTAATGTTGCATTTCCACTTTTTTCTATATTATCTTTTGGAAAACATTTTACTTCATAACTTTCTATAGTATCATCAGGATCAGTCAAATCAATTGGAGGTGGATTCCATGCTACTGTTAGTTTGTCACTTTCAACACTGAGAACTCTCAACTTTGATACCACACTGACGACTGAAGCCTCGGTAACAGCTGTTATTTCAACCTTCTTTGCTGGTTCACCTGTTAATTCAGTAACACCATTTTCAGCTAATATTTGAAATTTATATTCTGTCACTGGATCTAGACCTATAATAGTTACTCTAGTAGCATTTAAACCACTAGCAGCAGGTCTATACTCAACACTAGGGCCACAATTTGAGCAATGTATACGATATGTGACATCATTTCGCCCACCATTTTTATGTGGTGGCTGCCATGCAAGGGCTATTGAAAACTGATCTGCAAATGTAACAGTTAAATTGTCTGGTGCAGATGGTGGTTGTGTGCATGGTATGTTTTTGGGATCTTTTTTAGCTCTGAAGAATCCTGGTATACATTTACACTCACTTGCTGCAAAAATCGTTGATTCAGAGAAATCAGGGCAAGCAATACAGGGATCATCTCCAGTATGAGATTTAAACTTCCCTGGTTGACACTTATTGCATACTTGATTATGGTGATCAGGCTCAAAACCTGCACGACATTTGCATGATCCACTAGGCAGAGTCCATTTACCATCTCCTTTACAAAGGTATACAGGAGCTGCTTCACCAGGGGCAATCTCTGCATTCTCCACACAAGTACCATTGGCTTGCTCAATTACTGTGACTTCCCTCCCTGTTGGTGTTGCTTGGAATCTAGCAAAGTTGACCGTTACTTCTGGACATGTAATATAATAAACTTTCACAGCCAAGATTGAAATGCATGCACCTTGATCTCGGAAGGCAAAGTAAACTCCTCTTTTAGTCACAGCAATACTTTTAACTTCAGTATTTATGTCCACTTCTGAGTTGGTATTGAATCTGCCTTCACCTGCAGCTATTCTGCCAACAAGTTTGTAACTATCAGGTTCCCAAGGGGGCTGTTCCCTTGTGGCGACATCAAACTCATAGTACAGTAGACTGAAAGTCTCTTTGCAGCTTAGTGCATTGCCAGGAAACAACGAACAATCACGAATTGTAAACTTAATCTCAATATATATGCGATTGGCATTTCGCCTTTCTATGAAAGGTGTCCACAGCCAATTATTGACATTATGATGAGCAACATCACATACCACGTACGACCGCCAGTTGATCTGTTTCTCAAAATTTGTGTAGGATTCTTCAAGCCACCCAGGCGTGCTAGCCTGCGGTCCGTACGGAAACCTCGTCCATCCGAGAGTCGCCTCTGTGGTGGTGTCTAAAAGAAGCACCTGTTCTCCACATACACTAAGCGCTGTCAGGGCCGCGGCCGCCACCACCGCAAAAACCCACATCATCTCGTCCACATAATATAACACACGATGACCCAATCACAAAGTTCAATACGCAATAAATAACACAAAAGTACTCTTACTACATAATGCACTCCTTACTTTTTTACTAAATGTTCTCTATTAACAATTCACTTTGTTACGAATAAAGGGCAGTCGTCCCGTCATTTCACTTCACTGGTGAGAAATTAATGGAGGCCGAGGTCTTGTTTATCAATCATGTTACTGTGTTTACAACAAAGACACTTGAATTTCGTGTTGATAACATTAATCAGTTCAACGGAAACAATTTAAAGCAGTTCTAAGTAGAGATTCGCATTGATATTGATCCCGTATTACACAAATGAAAATCTCTTGACATGGACGCGCAGCAAATTACACAGTGCTGCCACATTTTACCTTTCTTTCCAGTTTCCTCCTCTTTTTTAACGTTGTCCCTTTTTAGGCAAGGCAAAGGGAGCAATGCCCCAGCCTAGTCTTCAGATTTCTTCGGTCTTTTTTTGATGTGTAACATCTTTCCTCTCGCTTTCCCTGCAATTTGTGGGAGTGATTTCGTGAGCTGGGACGGAAGTGTGTAATAGGAACACGAGAAAGCGCGCGTTATTTGATTTGATTTTAGAACATAATGTTCAAATGGCTTATTCCTTTTGTAGTAGGTTTTATTTCTTTTTTTACTTATATAAGGTGAGATTTCAAATGTTACACATCATAAGCGGCTACTGTAAGGCTCGCTCGTTTTTTTACATTACAATGTGGATGTGATACATTCTAATGTTTCTTGGTGTTTGGCACGAATTGTATCGAGTCAACTACAGTTTGTCTATAGAGTCGTGACATGAATGTTTGAGGAACTAACATTAATCATGTGTCTGGCAACACCAAACTTATGTACATCAGCTGTCATCGAGTTTCAGTTGTGGAACAGTTTTCCTTTTGTATTTTTTATTGTTTCGATTAAACTGTATTAAATTAAGACGAAACTACGCAGAAAGGTATAAAAATGAGTAAAGTAAATTGGAGTGGCACGCGGGAAGTGATTTTTAAGGTTTTCCAGCGATGTTTCGAAGACTACCAAGCTGGACGAATTTTATGGGATTTGGATGATGTTTATGGGCGAACAGCATCTATAACGGGTATGTAATCGTGTAACTATTTGTTTGTAATCTGTCTGAAGTTACAAATTTACTCAATTTACGATTTTGAAACCAAAAATGGCATTGGTATCGATTCTGGCGTGATTCTCTAAACTTAAAACTAAATTTAACATCAGTCTCTCCTTTTCATTTTGTATAGAGAATGACAAGGATATACTGCTGTCAAATTTAAGTTTAGGTTTAGAGAATCATGCTATTATCGACACCATTGTTTATAATGCGATTCAAATAAGAATAGGAAAGCCAATAACCTCTATCTGTCAAATGTCGCTTGAAAAGTACAGTTTGCAAAAAAAACCTTGGAACCTTTTTTTAGCACTCCGCTAATTCAAGAATAAAAACCAAACATTTGTAAACAAACAATAACAAATATTGATAATAATTATTATCGATTGATATTTTTTTTCACTTATTGAGCTTTGGCCATGAATGGTTGATAACCTAAATCGTCAGCCAAATATCATTTTAAGTTGCGATCAGAAACTCGATTTCAAACTTTCGTTTACTTATAGGATACATGTTCGTGTGTGACCTAGTAATAGTGCATGATTATTCATAACTACTCCGGCGGAGATAACGATGATGATGAGAGACGGAATGCAGAGATGAGCGGAATAGAAGAGCTAGATTCTGATCAATGGTTTTTCTCACAGTCTTAATAAATAAATATTATTAAAAATCGGTGTTTTTTTTTGGTAACTAAACTATAAATATTATTAAAAATCTTAGTAAATAAATGTTATTAAAAAAGTCTGATGCTTTTTCTCACTTAATCTTAGTTAATAAGTTTTATTAAATAAAAACATTTATTTGCTCACTCTACCTATTTCGTTTGAATTGACAGCTATGACATCACAATATGGCGCCCAGTCGGTCCTATTCTTAGTTGAATCACATTATACATGAAAACGAAATAACTATTGAATTGATGTGGGTGCCCTCGCATAGTAGAATATCAGGAAATTAAATTGTTGATTCATTAATGAAATAAAATTTACCAAACATTCCAATCTACAAGAAATCCTCCGTCCCTTTTATGGATTATCTATCTTTATTAAAAACAAGAATGTATTAGAAGTGGCACACGTACTGGCAAGAGACTCAACTTGAAAAAGGTGCATCGTATGCTAGCATACAGAATAAAATTCCCAAGAAGCCATGGTACTTTAAGTTAAAAAATCTAAGATAAGATATAGATGACATACCACTAATGACTGGCCAATATGGAAAACTCCAAGGCCGTAAAAAATATATGCATATATAAAAAAAAACCTATCTGAAATTCATCAAACAATAAAATTATTTATTAAAATGAATTTTCTAATTCTAATAAATAAATAAACTAAAGATGAGGCTGTATGGGCATTGATCCTTTTGCCTTCCCCGAAAAGGGAGAATCAAGAGAACTAAATAAAAAAATAAAAAAAAAAAAACCTTTTCTCTTTGATCACAGCCAGTGTTTCCACAATGAGGGGAAATTCCCCTTTTAAGGGGAAATTAGGGTCCAGAGGGGAAGAAAAAGGGGAAAGACATGAAAAGGGGAAATTGCGGGAATTTATGGGTAAAGCCTAGCCTAAAATAATGCGGCATGGAACAAATTTTTTATGGAACGATACCGTGAACTAGAGTGTTGCCGTATAAAAGAAATTGTGGTAACACGTGCAGATTTTATATATTTTATTTATCTCTTATAGAATAAGATAGATTAAGACCTTTTTTTTCTTTAGTTACTACACTAGTGCCAAATCTAAAAACTACAGCAGAATAATTTTTGAGGGGAAAAATGTCCTAAGAAGGAGAAATCTGAATTGAGGTGTGGGGAAAGGAAATCATTAAAGTGGAAACACTGATCACAGCATCACTTTGAATGGCTTAAAAAGGACTAGAATCCAGAGCCGTAAAACATATTAATAAAAAAAAAAACATCATTTAAAGTTTGTGGATCACAGTGTGTATGTACCTTCCTACTACCTTCCTGTTTGTTGTAAAAAACGGAAATAATTAATTGGTTTGTTGTTTAAAAAGTAATTCTTGTTTGTAATCATTTATAATTTGTGGATAACATTCTCACGAAATTCGCAAAAGGACGACGACTAGTTCTTTGTGATTACTCTGGGCACCTTTAGCTATCTAACTTTAAACATTGAGATACCCAACTAAAAATAAGTATACATAATCGAATCATTCATAGCGCATATTTTTTTAAACTAAGTTACCTGTATCTTCCAGAAATTCATAATAATGTTAGGTTATTCCAATGCCGGTGTTCCAGATAAGTCTTGGCAACCGCCTGTTGCAGTAATCGAAACTACGTGAGTTCTTTGCGTATTTTTTTGTTTATATTTAAGTTAACAGTACTGGTAAACTGATTGATCTGTAATTACCACTTCAAATTATATTTATTTGCACATATGTTGTTTGTTTTCAGGATGGGTGCGATGGTTGTAGAAATGTATTGGAAACACACTCCTATAACATGCAGAAATTTTATGGAACTTGTTCGAAGAGGATATTACAATAACACTAAATTTCACAGGGTAATAAGAGACTTTATGATTCAAGGTGGTGATCCTACAGGAACAGGGAAAGGTGGGCAGTCAATATATGGGCCACAATTTGATGATGAAATTACTAGTGATTTAAAACACACAGGTGCAGGCATTTTGTCTATGGCTAATGCAGGACCAGACACTAATGGATCTCAGTTTTTTATCACATTAGCACCAACTCAGTGGCTTGATGGAAAACACACTATATTTGGACGGGTGCAAAGTGGCATGTCTGTTGTTAAAAGAATAGGGTTAATTGAATGTGATAAGAATGATTGTCCTGTTGATGATATTCGCATTGAAAGAGCGTACGTCCCTAAATAATTATGTTCATAATGTCTTAAATAAAAAAACACCATCTCAATACATATTTCATTTCTTTAATTACAAAAAATCATTACCTATATACAAATGGTGCCATGTACCAAGGTGTACTTTGCATTGTTGCTCACTCCTCACGGCCCCATGTGCCATGGCCCTCTTGGCTCAAGGGTAAATACGCCCAATGCTCAAGGTGCAAAACAGACAACAACATAGCATTGTACTAATTTTCCACTAAATAACTAGTCTGGCTAATAATACTGTTACATAAAAACTTTTCTTATTTTCAACTTTTTATTTATTTTGAATTTCGTACACTTATTATTTTAAAAACTTCTTTCGATTTTGCGCTATTTCACATATTTTTTCGTGTTAATTATCAAATTACAATATGGAATGGGGTGATAAAGAAAATAGATTGCAGTGAGCGCCTTGCACAAAGTGGGTATTGAGCTGTCGGTCATATTCCACACTCTTCAAAAACTTGGTTTCAGCCATATGTTCAGATATCGTACTATCAACAGATACAACTGCACTTCGTCTGTCAAAGACCAGAAAAGATAGGGGTGGCGGCGTGCTGTTAGAACTACAAAGGCTGTTATGCTGTTAAACCCAGAATTCGTCGAAACCCCATTAGGAAGGAAAAATCTTATCGCGAGAAATGAAGATTCCCGGTAGGCGCGTATTATAAAACGCACAATTTACATTATATCACGTTTTATATCGCTTCTAACCGTCAAACTGCATAGTAATTTGACAATTGGGCGTGATAAAAACGCGTTACCTCTTTTACATATCGCGGTGCTCATGCTTTGCAGGCTGAAGCTCGGTGCATATCGTAGATATACATGACATGCCCTAAATCAATCTTCACAAAAAGAGAGACGTCACGGGATCCCTCTGTGGCCGGCACGGCATAATGCGCCGTACCGACCAGCTAAGGATACCCGCGGGCAGGGTCATGGGACGGGCGCAGCCAGGGCACGCACGTCACTTTTATGTGAAAATTGTAACAAAACGTGACGTCATGCGATTTTTCAAATCAATATATCGCTGCAATAATTATATCATGTGAAAAAATAAAAAATACGCGTCCAATACTTTTTGATAATCTACCTGATAAACGACGAAAAAAAAATGGACGCGTGTAACTTATGTACGCGCGTGAGAAGTTATACTTCTTTAGCATAATTAAAAATATTTTTTAATTGCATGCAAATAATTAATAATTACAATAAAATAATAAAAGGACTGGAAAAGGATAGTTAACACAGTCAATTAAGTTCAGTTTTAATTTGAAAAATTAAATAAATATTCAAAAGATTCAATTAAATTTCACTACTGAATTTAAGTTATTAGTCCATATGTAATTAGCACTTGTAAGTAACTAAAACACGTTGTGTCTATATAGAAACTAGAAACATGTGGATAAATATTATAAATATGAAAACAGTAATCAGAGGCGACGAGCGTGCCAACATTGTTTTTGACAATGCGATCATCTTATGGAGCTCCGTGGATCGTTCAAAGTACCTTTCTTAGTCTAATAATGGTAGTATTTTTGTAACACCATAGTATTAAATATCATCACGCCGCCCGTTACTAGATGGCGCTGTACGCATGTGAATCGCGCTATCCTATACCGACACCGATTGTATGGCACATCATAGGATCAAATATCATCACGCCGACCGCTACTAGATGGCGCTGTACGCATGTGAATCGTGCTGTACTATACTGACACCACTTGAATAAGGTGTTCTTGGGAAATTGACCAAGTCATCGCTTCGTAGGTAGGGCCTATTTGTCTTGCACGCTATACGCTTCCACCACGTGGGACGTCTTAGTGTCTTGATAATAGTATACATGTACTTCCACCCTTGTGGGATACAGTAATACCATTTCTCCTACAAATATTGAATAGTAATCACAATATAAGTATTTTCTACCTATCTTTATTTGACGTCAGCCTTCTCACACTCCCCCTTCGCCCTCCCGCACATTCTTACAGTTTTATTAAATAATAAATATTATAAATATGAAAACAGTGATCAGAGGCGACGAGCGTCCCAACATGTGCGACTAAGAGATCCTATTACTATTTTGTTGGAAGCTTTTTTTCGAGACTTACGAGTAATGTGCGGTTTAGCGGCCGACTTCATGGTGTTACTTTTCTGTTACAGTGTTGCGCGCGCATCTTAAAATTTCACTCTCATCATTTTTTCATAACGCGCCCGCGGCTAACTTCATTATGTTACTTTTGTGTTACAGTGATGCGCGCGCATCTTAAAATTTCACTCTCATAATTTTTTCATAACGCGGCTAAAGAAGTATAACTTCAAATATAGTTTTTTTGGTTTGGAGTAACTGTAACTGTAACTGTAACTTATAAAAGATGTAGGTATGTAGAAGGAAAATGTTTTGATGCAGTTTTGGAGCTGGTATACTCATCATTTATTTAGAGTGCCACTGTTCTAAATTTGAACTACAGTTTATTAAAAAAGTCGAGTTACGTTGAAACAAATCCATTTTTTTCAAGGAAAAAAAATCTAATCGATTTTTAAATAAAGACATGTTTTACATGAAAAGAAATATTTATTTAGTAACTTGTATTGCCTCCCAGTGCATTTATGAAAGCTCTCATACGGTTTGGCATAGAATTAATCAATGTCGTTATGACATGTTGAGGAATGTCCTCTCATTCTTCCAACATTACATTTTTGAGCTCCTGCATGGTTTGCGAGGCAGGATGATGAGCTCGAACACGCCTCTTCAGCTCATCCCATAGATGCTCTATAGGATTCATATCAGGACTTCGCGCTGGCCATCTCATAACAGTGATACCAATGTCATTTAAGTACTCCCTGACGATTCCCGCAGTATGGGCCCTTGCATTATCATGCATCAAATCGAAATCTTGGCCAATAAATCCAGCATATGGCATCCACGGTTCTCTAAACATTGGCAATGTATCTATTGCCATCTAGGGGTGGCAGTCGTGGTCCCGTCACTACCTCTAGCTCAGTTTTGCCTTCCATAGAGATTCCTCCCAAGACTGTCCATGATCCTCCACCATAACTCACTTTCTCGTCAATACAGCATTGCGCGAAACGCTCGTTCTGTCTTCGGTACACCTTACTCCTTCTGTCATTACCATATAGTATTATCTTGGACTCATCTGTGAAGAGAACCTGGCTCTATTGATGTCGAGTCCAATTTTGATGTTCGCGCGCAAACTCTAGACGGGCTATTCGGTGTGCTCGTGTCAATTTGGGTCCACTGGCTGGCTTAATTGGCTTTAAACCACGTTCATTGAGTCGCCTTCTAACAGTCCGAGCACTTACAGCCACTCCGTGAAAGTCCCTGAGCTGTTCTTGTATCTGAACAGATTTAAGGCGTCGATTTCGTAAGCTAGTAGTGACAATGTATTGATCTTGTCTCGCCGTTGTCACTCGGTAACGAGGTCCTCCTGTTCGCCGAACGAAGCCACCGGTCTGCAGGTAGCGGTGGACACTCTTTGAACAGCGGAACGACTTATGTGAAGTTGTGAACTCACATCTCGCTGACTTAGCCCAGATTGAAGAAGTGCTACAGCTTGAGCGGCTACTTCAGGTGAAGTATCCATAATTTTATAGCCAAAAACGGTTCAAATTTAGAAAAATAACTAAACTAAACTTTGGTTTACAACAATTGCGAAAATTGAAACCAAATCGACATTAAATTGCTTCAAAAGCAACTTTCAACAGTCATTATTTTTTTCAAATCAGTGACCAAGCTCGGCTTTTGTTCTTTATTTTAAATTCTAAAATTCAAATTTGGAATAATACATACGGGAAAGACGATGAAATATGCCAGCATTAAAAATGCATAAAAACTTTTTTGGTGTAGTGTATATTTTTTGTGTATTGGGCTTTTAGGCCCGGGAATGTAAGGTGGCTCGATTCAAGAGTCCGGGAGTGTATATGTTACCGGCCAAACCCGATTTCAGGACAAACTAGTTTTGCCTAGGCTAAACTGGTTCTTCCTATGCGCGATAGGATTAACTAGTATAGCCTAGTCCAAACTAATTTGTCCTAAGCCCGATAGGATAAACCAGTTTAGCCTAGGCCAAACTAGTTGATCCTGATAAAAATACGCATACTCTAGGACAAACTAGTATGGCCTAGTGTAAACATTATAGTATATCTAGAAAGTCAAAATAAATAGATAAACTGAATAAAATAATCCGTAATTGGAAAAATAATATTTTTTATTAAAACCATAATGATTCATCGTTACAAGTTATGGATAATTAGTAATACAAAGAAGAGTAAGAAAAGTTTAATTTTTCTAGTAAACTTTTCTTTAGATTTAAACACCTAGCAGTTAAATGCTTAAAAATAAATAAAAACAATAACTATAATTGCTATTTCTTCTTTCAAATGTTTAATACTTGAAAAAGTATTCATTTGACATTGTGGGTTGCGTGGTTGCAACCTACAATGCGAAGAGATGGCGCTGCCTTGCAGCTTAAGGCTAGGAAAATTTCGACGCGGCGAATAGGGCCGTGGTAGCATAATGGTCAGTGCATTCGCCCGGATTGCGAAGGGTGCGGGTTCGAGTCCGGTCCGCTGCCTGGTCCGCGTGGTTTTTTTTTCTAGTAAACTTTTCTTAAAATATTTTGAGTTTACAGTGAGATGAATTGTAAAAGGTTCGAATGATTCGGAATTTCTTAAGCCGGGTAGTTACTCATTGGCGAGCTGTAACCATAACCGTTGCACGCACTGTAACCAAAAAGCATAGTGTGTACGTGGTTCGATAACCTGCTGCGAGAACGGTACGCGTGCGGTTTGAAGCGAGCCAACGTTCACCACTGAGCTACTAGCGTACACACTAGAACTTCGTACTGTATCACGCATGTTACGGTAACAGATCGCTAATGCGTACCCGGCTTTACTGTCTTCCGAACTCCCGGCAACAACAAAAGAGTTAAACAAAAACCAATTACAGAAAAAACACTCCCTCCACTTTCTTCCAGCGTTCTTTTTACATGACGCGCCCTGTACAA